CTTGCAATTAAACACTATTTCAATATTACAGACGGAAGTTAAAGTGGAAGCCAGTGCTGTCAAACAATTATTAGAAGGGGGAGTTGGGGTTGACGACGGTGAAGAGGTCGGATTACTACACTCAGGACACACGCCTATCATGATCAGAGGAGAAGATGGAGTCCTTTACCAGGTATACTTAACTGTGCTATTAAGAACTTACTAAATAATAAATGAAGTTTGTGTACATTTTGTGTTCTCTATTACATTTTAAATAAACAATTTATAATGTGGTACGTTCAACAGGTCGCAGGCGAAAACGAAGCAGGTCAAACGCTACTTGTAGCAGCAGAGGGAGTTGAAGGTGCCGTCGAGGGTGTGGAAGGCGCAGTCGAAGGCGACGGTGACGTCATGTACGTCACGAGGGAAGATGGGCAGGTCAGAATATAATTACATTAGGAATTCATTGTACTTTGATGTTACATTAAAAACATGGTAGGTTTTTCTTATAATGTTACATATTAATTCTTCACGGACTCTTGGCCTGTGCTCTTGTCATACAAACATAGTAGGTTGTTCGAGTGGTAACCGACAAGCAAGTTGTAATATTGCTGATCAAAGATACAGGTCACGTAGCGTTTCCGTAGCTTCAAGTGAGACATTCCCACAGGAGGTGTTGGCGATCGATCCCTCTCAGCTGGCGCAATTAATGCCTGGAGGCGAGGCGGCGCCCGCGCTGCAGCAGGTCGCCGTGCAAGTCGAGGGGGAACCCGGGGAGGATGCCACGCAGGTCATCGCGCAACTACTGCAGGCTGACTTACCATCACCCGGTCAGTATTATCAATAAACAATATTTGTTTATAGAAAGGTACTCTTGTTCTACTTAAGGAAGTGTCGAATTGTAGCTGATAACTTTTGTTTACTTGTATCTCAATGTAACATTTTTATAATGATTGTTACAGGTGGAACACGAAGAGTGGTACTTATGTTGCCTGATGGCAGTTTGACAATGACTGAACTTGACAAAGAACAGTATGAATCAATAACAGAAGCCAGTAAAGCACAGGAATAAAATTATTATTTGACCAATTCGAAATGTGATGAACCACTATTTATCAGAGATCAAATAAATAACTATTTGTTCTCTAAGCCCCAAGCTTTGAAGATTTAGACATTAATGTGACAGAACAGTTTCATACAATGTCGAATTCTTATTTTCTTTACTTTATTAAGCCACATAATACAATTTATAATTATGTCTAAATGTGAAGTGTATACACACAGGTTGGTTACATCGTGAAGACGTAAGTTCTGTACAAACATGTTTTACAATTGTGATTTGTTTCCGATTTTCTGTTGTCAATTTGATATTGATGTAAAAATCTTAGCCAAATATCAATACAGCAGCTGTAGCCAAATGCCAATTAGCGCTTGTCTACATGTAGAATAGAATAACCAAATGATCTGGGATTGGCGTAAATTTTGACACTTGTAAGTGTCATCCCCATACATTTTGAATTTCTACTCTCTTTATAATAGACAAGCTTAAAGTGGCGTTTAGCTAAAGGCCCAGGTACCAAGATATAACATTAGTACATCGAATTGACACGCAGTAAGTTAAACTGTCAAACACCAAGCGGTCACAGGTGACCGCAACCTATTGTTCTATAATTGTGTCTACAAAACCGGTACTCGACGAGTTAATTGTATAACAATTGGTGGACGTAATAATCCTCTGATGTAGTTTTCTGTAAAATATATCGGCAAATACAAGACTGACTGCCACTAAGCTGTAAATAAAGTTATTACAGTATGTGACAGTATGTATATCAGTTGTTGAAAGGAGTTGGGTATTCTCAACTTTGACTAAGACTCAATTTACATTGCCACGGCATGGAATAAGATTGAATTTTGGGGACGAAATTGTACAAGCTAATATTAGCCACGATTTTTATGGCTAATGTTTAGGTTGTATGTTTTTTACACAATTTATGTAAAGTTAATGTATAATTTCTTTATTGATTCCATTTTGCTGCAATGTTAAATGAGCCTGAGAATGAGTCAAGTTAATATTAAACACATATTATATTGTTTTAGAAGTAGTCTGTATTATAGCTTTAGAAGACTTTCTACCTTTTAAACAAGGGATGATGTGCGAGATCTTTTTCTGTTTAAAAATAATGAAAAACAAACAACTTGTATTTTTCTTCTTAAATATTGTTGTCACGCCTTAGTGCATTTAGGTATATAGTTTGGCTACAACTCCGACTTACGGCGAGCTAACTATCGGTTTTCAGCCTCGCCATCGTCCCTGCAATTAGCAAAAGCATATTTTTAAAATATGCTTAGAATATATTCTTTTCATCATGAACTCTGATTTACATTATAGTTTTTAGTATTGTATATAGTCAAATTTGTAGATTAATGCCACATGATTTATCCTCAATTAAATTAAATGCTTTTATATTGAAATATACTTCCTTTGTAGCCTTCTTAAAAGAAGCTAATGTCATTAACAAAATTAGCTCTAATGCTAAGTGGTTACACTCTACTAGTGTGTTTTTATATCATATTCTTAAGGAACTTCTTTTACCTTTTACTAAGGCTTGAATATTGTGAGCCTTACTAACTGCTAGTAATACGCGGAGAACAAGACCTAGACATTGCACTCAAAAATTCAAGATACATAGAATAATTTCTAGTACATATTCATTACTCTGCATCGTTTCTGCAACTTTTGTTTTAATCGTCTGGATACAAAATGTTCCCTGATTGTTTAACCCCTCAAGTTCTAAATTGATACTTGAAAAATTGTAAATAATTACCCAAAGGGAATTCACGTTGCTTGACCACCAACATGGAAAAATTCTTATTAGATAAGATCTTATAATAAGTAGCAGCAGCAGCATGTAAGAAATGTGGTAAAGTATAAAGTTGTCTTTATTTTAGATTTGTAATATAATGATATAATTACAATAAAATATAGCTATTAGGTAATTATGTTTGTTTTATTTTTAGCAATGAAAAAGGATACGTTATTTCTATGGATTTATCCTTCCTCTGTTGCTTCCTTTCCCACTAATGATGATTTTGTGAAGATATATGGATATGATATGATAGCTATCCTGCCATCGTGGTCATTCGTAGTGTATACTGCCTATATAAATCATTCAAAATAGTCTAATTTGATGGAGAAGCCAATAAAGTTGAACCAGCCTTTGAGTAAGTTGAAGTTAAGAGTATAACAAGTATAGGGATATGCTTTGATTCAAATATTGTTTCTCTTTCAAATGGAAAATAGGAGTGTAGGCTACGTGGGTACCGAGCTAACTCAGCTTTTATGCATGGACAGATGAGATGGAATAATGTCGGTACTTAGGTAATTGTTTATTGATTATGTTGTCCTAGAATCCATTGAAAGTAATTTCAACTATGGCTAAATCTCTCTATATCAAGATTAAAAAAAATGTAATGACATTTCGATTGCCATTGCTGTCAAACCAAATCACTGTCAAGGGAGCAAGGTCAAGGTGTCACTGTCAATGAATTTGATCGAACGAGTGAAGTGAACTTTTCGAAGCTTTATTTATTTATTTTACTTTTATACAAAAATAAATATGATTTTTGAAACAGAATCTTAAATCTAGCACTAACTAAGTGCACCATCCATAAATAAGCCTGGGAGCCTGTATAACACAATGGAAAAAGTTGAATGTACTTTTTATTTTGAAGATTCAAGTACAAACCGAAAAAAACTTTTTGAAGAAGCATTATTACATGCAAAAACTGGGAAAGTCTTGTACATTTCATCGGAAGAATTAACTGAACTACCAGAATTGTCTCAAGATTTGAGATCACTCAACAAGTACTATATGAAAATGATAATATTTATGTATGTGAAGAGTTTAAATTCATTGATAGAAATTATTTCTTCACTACATGATTGGCAAAACATACCTTCGGTTATAATTTTGGATGATCTAAGTGCATATTGTGATAAAACAAAACTACAAAATGCATGTGGTGTTGTTGCTCTACTGCTGGACACTACAAGATGTTGTTCTAAGTTGAATAATTCATGCACATTACGTATTGCAGTACCTAGAATAGTAGTTGGTGAAGATTATTGTAGCATTTTAAGAGATATGTATAGCTATAATGAAAGTGATACTGTTTAACTAGTTGTAAATATTGAAAATACATATTTTGTCAGATAATTGTCTAATACTTTGCCTTGCCTGTTGACTAAAAAATAAGAAAAATAAACTTCAAGATCTTTATTTACATGGGAATAATGGTTTACATAATACACAGGAATGAATTGTTATGGATAGAAAATAAATATATTTATCACATCACCTAAATTTTAACACAATATAGAGTAAGAAGAAAACAAAGATTGCAAATAGAAACAGATAGAATATATAGTAGTTATGATTTCCCTTGCCCAGTCTTAGAACACGGCCCATAGTTTTTCCAAGAAACCCAACACTCCTGTCAGCATCATCATCGAGACCACGTAATAATTTCTCCTGATAACGTACTTCATTGCCCAACTCAATAGATATGCCTTTGAGTGAAGAAATTTTGTCACTTAGTTCTTCTGCCATCCGATTGTTATCAAATTCCAGTGCATCATCTGTTGCCACTCTTGGCACTGGCTGATACTGATACCCATCTCTGGCACGTCGCATGCTATTTCGTCCCGCCGTCTTGATGAATGTTTCTTACTTTCTAGATAAATTTAGAAAATGTAATTACAGAGTAATTTATTTGAAGTCATAAATCTGGTTAATATAATGCTATGCTTACGGTTTTAATTAGAAGGCGTCTGATGACGCAATTGTGATGATTTGAAACGAAACAACACAATTGTCTAGTCTACTATTTTGAAACGTATTTTAAACGAATAAAATATTACAAAAATTGAAGACTCTCGCTAAACATCGTTCGTGACGTGTTGACTTTTGACATTGACGTTCGTGACACCGATGACATGGTATGTCATCGTAGTGTGCCTAGTAAAAAAAATGTTCTTCATTTACTTACTTTGATATTTCTTTATTACCAAACTGAAGAATATAAACGAGGGGTCAGCGAGCATTACGGCAAACCCCTGAGGTAATCAACAGTAGCCGTGGCAGACTGTATTTTTTCAATTTAAAAACACATTTCAAATGCATTTTATCGTATTTTTATCTTACCAGTCTTGTCCTTTCTATTTTCTATTGTAACTGCCTGTACTACAGACCCTGTAGTTATGTATTTTGAACTTGTCTTATACTTTAGTCATAATATTTATACGCATCTAACGGGTTGCCGGGGCTCCGTCTCAAAGAGCAGAAGTAGGAACTGGGTGGTGTTTAGTCAATAAGAATCTGACGCTCTCTGCATCGTATTTTCCCCCCTCAAAAGTCATAATTTATATAAAAAGTAAGTCATACTTTATGACTGACGCGCTTATGGGCAGAGGTAGACTCCTAATTATGTTTTCACATTGTCAGAACTTGTGCGTCGTCTCTAGCCCTTTCAGTGATTACTCGTTCACACCGATTCTTCATCAATTCCTCATCATCAGCCTGTTTTCGTCCACTGCTGGACATAAGCTTCTCCAATGGCACGCCACTGAGCTCGGTCTTCAGCTCTACGCATCCAACCACTACCAGCCACTTTACGTATATCGTCACTCCACCTAGCTGGAGGGCGCCCTACACTACGTTTGCCTAGACGCGGTCTCCACTCCAGAACACGTCTACCCCAGCGGTCATCGGTTCTTCGACAAATGTGATCGGCCCACTGCCATTTCAGCTTGCTAATCCTTTGGGCTACATCGGTAACTTTAGTTCTCTGTCGGATCACCTCGTTACGGATCCTATCCTTCAGAGATACTCCGAGCATAGCCCTCTCCATAGCTCGCTGCGCTACCTTAAATTGGTGGACCAGTCGCACTGTTAGTGTCCACGTCTCGGCTCCGTATGTCATGACTGGTAGGACGCACTCGTTGAAGACTTTCGTCTTCAGGCTTTGCGGTAGAGTTGACGAAAAGACCCGATAGAGTTTCCTATATGCCGCCCAGCCAAGCTGTATCCTTCTACGAGCCTCCCTCTCGAAGTTGTTTCTACCAAACTGTAGGGTTTGTCCTAGGTAGACATACTCCTGAACAACCTCGAGAGTAGACCCATTCAGGGTGATCGGCTCCGGAAGAACATGTTCATTGAACATGACCTTCGTTTTGTCTAGGTTCATCCGGAGTCCAATGCGAGCAGAAGAATCAGCCAGGCTGTTCAGCATATATTGTAGGTCTTGCACGGTTTCAGCCACGATGACGATGTCATCTGCAAATCTCAAGTGTGAGAGATACTTGCCGTTTATATTTATGCCCCGTCCGTTCCAGTGCAGCGTCTTGAACATATCCTCCAAAGCATTGGTAAATAATTTGGGAGAAATGACATCGCCTTGTCTTACCCCCCGATGCAGGTGGACAGGTTCAGACTGCTGGTTCTGTACTTGGACGACCATAGTTGCAGCATCGTATAGATCTCTCAGCACTTGGACATATCGCCAATCGACTTGGCACCGTTGCAAGGACTCCAGAACAGACCAGGTTTCAATAGAGTCAAAGGCTTTCTCGTAATCCACAAAGGCTAGGCATAGGGGCAGATTATACTCTTCAGTCTTCTGTATAATCTGCCTCATTGTATGTATGTGGTCTATGGTGCCGTATCCTCCTCGGAACCCAGCCTGCTCAGGGGGCTGAAACTCGTCGAGTCTTCGGGCGAGACGGTTAGTGATGACTCTGGAAAACAGCTTGTAGACATGGCTCAGAAGGGAAATAGGTCGATAGTTCTTCAAGAGGGTTTTGTCTCCTTTCTTAAAGAACATAACGACAACACTCCTGCTCCATGCCCTTGGAGTTCTCCCCGAGAAGAGAACGGAATCAAACATACGTCGGAGTCGCTCGAGCACCGGTTTTCCACTTGCCTTAAGGAGCTCCGTCGTGATTCCATCTTCTCCGGGGGCTTTTCCATTTTTAAGTTGCCCCAAAGCCACCGCGATCTCACCTAGGCTGATTTCTGGCAAGTCTTCGGTGAAGTGGCGGACAAGTGTGGCTCTGGGATCCCCCGAATCTGAATGAGGACGAGGTGCTTTTGACGCGTACAACTCACCGTAGAAGTGCCGAACCTCCGCGAGAATCTCCGGCCTAGAAGATACGACTTTCCCACTTGATGTGGTCAGCTTCGTCAGATGACTTCGACCCAATTGCTGGATGAAGACTTTAGACCCCCGATTTTGCTCGATTGCTTCTTTTATTGCGCGTGTATTGGCGCATCGGAGGTCGCGTTTCACCAGTTTTGAAATCTTTTTGTTAAGATCTGACGAAGCGACTGTTTGGTTTTCCCGTCGTCTCTCCATTAGCTGCAGAGACTCTCCCGAAAGCTTGGCCCTCCGTCCGGTATTCTGCGTCCGGCACAATTTTGTTCCTTCATCCCGGAGGATCCCGACCATTTCCTCAAGTTTCTGGTCAATATCAACGTCATTTGTGGTTTCCAAAGCAGCAAACCGGTTCTCCAGCTTTAATTGGAATGCTTCAGATCCAGCTACGGTTTGGAGCAAGTTCGGTCGCAGCGTAGACCTCATGAGACGGACACGCTCGAGTTTGTATTTGATATTTAGAGTGCCTCGTACCAGTCGGTGATCACTTCCGGTATTAAACCTTGTGATTACTGAGACATCTCTGAATATTCGTCTCTTGTCCGTCATAATGAAGTCTATCTCATTTTTCGTCATAGCATCGGGGCTTCGCCACGTCCACTTCCTTTGAGGCTGCTTCTTAAAGAAGGAGTTCATCAAGAACAGTCCCTCCTTCTCTAGGAAGTTGACAAGCATTTGCCCCCTATGGTTCCTGCTTCCAAATCCGTGTGGTCCTACTACCGATTCGCCGCTATTATGTACTCCCACTTTGGCATTGAAGTCTCCCATGACAACGTTGAAGTGGGCCTTTTGGGTGGTGTGCAAGGCTCTGGTAATGTCTTCATACATTTCCTCTACCTCATCATCCGAGTATGTCGAGGTAGGCGCGTATACTTGGACGACCTTTAGGCTATACCTCTTGGTGAGTTTGATCACAACGTACGCTACCCTTGCCGACACACTGGAGACCTCTACAACGCTGTCTGCGAGAGACCTGTGGACCAAAAACCCGACGCCACCCTGTGATGGTTGGTCTCCCTCTCTGAAATACAAGAGATGGCCGGATTCCAAGGTTACGGTATCCTCCCCCTGTCTTCGGACCTCACATAACCCCAGAACATGCCACCTCACATTTCCCAGCTCCACCTCGAGCTGCGCCAAATGTTCATCGAGCCGTAGCGTGCGTCCGTTGTACGTAGCCAGGGTCAGTTGGTGTTGTCGGCCTTTCGTAGCCCGGGGATTCTTAGCACCCCTTGTCCCGCCGTTACCACGACCGCCGACTTGGCCGGGAATAGCGGGGCAACCGGGAACTAGGGGCCGTTTTTTTATTGGGTGCGCCATTAAAGGTAATGCCCATAATCACCACGCTGGGCAGGCGTAGATCGTGCGTGATCGCAGGGCGTAGTTTCTCGCACTAGGGACGCTGCTCCCCGTCACTAGTCTATTTAATTTGTCTACGCCTATATAGCATGGTTATACCGCCATGTGCCGGTCGCCAGAGCCTCGTCCGTTAATCGGCAGGATGTACCACGAGCAGGTGAGGTTGGCTGGGGGTACTTAGATGGTGTTGTCCTCCCTTACATCCTTAATTTACACACAACACAATTACAACATCAATTCCTATTCTAGGTCAATGCTTCAAAATTTAGTTAGAGAATAAAAAAAAATACATCGCATATTAACGTTTTATTTCAGTATATTATGTACAATAGTATTGATCCTCATCTCATTCCAATACAAAGAACAGAATTCTTACATACATTTTAGAAAGGCATACATAATTACCATGTATTTTGGGGAATGTATTGCACAATGTTTTTAATACTAGGACTATAAAAAATTATAATTTTGTTTCGAGAAGGTTGTTAAATTAACATTTTCTATTCCAGATCAGAGGTAATGCTTGTCTTAAATAGGAGAAAGCAAGAAAACAGTTCATCACCATCACATGGCACAACATTAACTTGTTTATGTCTATATCACAATAAAATGGATAAAAACAGTAAAAAAACCCCAAAACATACAGTATTTGTACTAAACAATGAAAACATCAAAACTGTCACAAATTTAATTGTTACATACATATTATGTACATAATTTTACCACTAGAATAATAAATTTACATTGAACTAATCAATAAATCAGTCAATTAGTATAATACAACAATTCACTTGATACCCAACACACCACGGTAATGTAACGAAACAGTCAAGTCAGCAGTCATTTAGTCATTAGTCTAGTCGTACAACAAAGTATGCATAGAATTAGGGTTCAATTCAAAACAAATATTTTGTGTGAATCCATTCTGTATAATAAAAACACTGTTATAGAATTTATAAACAATTATTTGTCATTCTTGACCAGCAAACAATTGAATTTTTGTAGCCTCTAATAAGTTTTCTCTATGTTCGATTTTATGCAGATTTTACGGATCATAATCACTATTAAAAGAATATTCTTGCACAACATGCATTTGGCGATTTCATAATTATTAGACCCATATCAAACATGCATAAGAAATAAGATTATTGAATGGCTGTCATACAAAATTGTTAATCTATCACAATGTACAGATTGCTATACATAATATAAACATCAAATATAATGGCTTCACGTAACATTTATCTTTTATACAACATATTATAGGTATTGCATACAGTAAATTATTACATTTAATAATGATGTCAATGATTTCCAGAGCTACAAGTTTTTTAGAGTCACAGACACAAAAATAAGTCACCAATGAGCTTCGAGTAGGACGTGCACACGGTACACTATCGTCGCATCTGTATAATCAGTGGAGATTCGTCACACGACGGTAGTGCAGGCTCACTCCGAGCCGGGCGGTGCAGCGGGCGCGGGCCGGCGCAGCAAGCGCGGCCGTCAAATGTGTACCGGCACGTGCAGTAGTAGCGCGTCACGCCGGGGGAACTCCAGCGCACACATCTCGCATTTAAACGGACCTCCCGTGCTCGTCTCGGCCTCGCTCGCCTCACTGGCCTCCCCGGCGTTCTGCATGGCGCGCAGGTCGTCGGCCGGGTGGCGCGGCGGCCGGCGCTGGCGGGCGCTGCGCTCGCGGGGCGGCGGCGTG